ATCTTAACGTCGTCAGAGCATAGAAGAGTAGGGCAGCTTAGACGGAATGGGAGGTCACTGACAAAAATCGAAACATCAGTAGCCCTTAGGACAGAACTCTGCGACACTCCTGATGACGTGCTGTTACAGGGGGATTGAACTCGATTTACTGTGAAAGTTCTAATTCTGTGGAAAACAGAGAGGCACTTAAATTTGTGACAGAAGATAAGACACTTGGTAACGGATCTTTATTCAGGAAAAACACATCATATTTATGCATTCTTAGCCACATTAAGACTTCGCTGGGTGAACGAAGAATAGACTGTCCTGTTTTGTCGGAAGTTGACTTCAGGTTAAACGAGCTGCCCAATGAGGTTATTTCATGTCCAAAATGCAAGCTAATAACAGACATGAGGGATATAAAACAGTACTTTTGCAGCCACTGAAATAAAATTGTTATCAGGTTAAGCCTCTTCTTATCAATCTGCGTCGCGCTACAGACGCAGCCAATAGCTTGCCACACCAAAGTCTTCAAGGACCAAGCTGAGTAATGTTGAAGATTGAAAACCGGTCTGTCATTGCTCATAAACATATAGTAGACATTGATTGTCAGCAAGGATGAAGTCAATACGACAGGTTCCTTAAAGTGTCAGTCAAACTGACTAGGCCGCAAATGGGGCAATGTGGTCATCCGCCCGAAGCAGTGCGTAGCCTTCTGGGGCACGGAAACTCTCGCACACGGTAGTGTAAAGTGCTAACTTCTACGCTGTAGACTACAATATATAGGACACGATGTCACTACACATCATAGTACTAGTGGTGATTCAGACAGATTCTTAGCGGAAAAATTAGACTTATGGACAAACAAATATTATAGCCTCGCAGTCGGTGAATTCGAGGTCTAAATAATTGACCGAACGAGCCATACAGCTCCACCCCCAGAGTGTCCCCTTGACTCCAAGCCGTCAAAATCTACTATTTCAATGGCCCAAGTATGACATGTCAAGAAACCTAAGCCTTATGACAGAAAAGAAGTCCTCTTCAACCCAGGACCTGATTTACAAGTGTGGGATGTAGACATTTCACATCCTCCACCCCCAAGAAGAAGGGATTCGGTGTCCTCGCTTTCAAGTTCACAGCTTCGACTGTATCGTGAGGGAAACTTCACCTCCACTGTGTATCAGGAAGGAGGATAGAAACAGCATCATCTAAGCTGCTGAATCACGAGGCTGGCACATAAGCCCGGAATCTCACGTGGAAACCGCATAGGGCCAAAGCACACTTACTTTCAGGCAACCGATTTAATTTCTTGGTCCATACAGAAAGGTATAAAACATTACCCCCCCCTCACTTGTATGAACCAAGAAGGCTCGTGAATTACTCAGGTGTAAGCACAAATGCTGGAACCTCTTCGGACTTCTGAGTTTAGGAAGTTGCGAACTATCGCTAAGAACAAGGCTATTTCGGGAGTCTATTGATCACTGATGAATTTCTGAATGCATCTAGCCCAAAATGCAATCTCACAACCTGCGAAGAATTACTCGTACATGAACCTTAGGAATTAGAAATCCAAAACCTCTTTGTTGACAACGAAACAGTAGAAGAGGATCAGGAAAAGGTAGAAGCCATGGAAGACTACTTTTTGCACATTTCTGCACTGGAGTCATTGGCACCCAGAGTGACAGCTGCGCCTACACCAGAGGGATAAAGAAAAGCTTTCGTCGACAGCGACCAAAACGTTGAGATGCAAATGCAGGAAACTCAAAGGAACGATCCGGTGACCTTCATGCAAGGCTCCTCAAAGAGCAATTAGTCAATACAACCAGCCCACTGACAGCCATCTTGAAGCCTACTATTTTGTATGGAGTCTCATCGCGTGGCGGAAAAGACGTCATAGTCACCACTATCTGCAGAGAAAGCTAAAGACAATGGCTTTCAAACTAAGGACTAATCAATCTCACAAGGACCTCAATCATGATCGTGGGAAGAACTATCATCGCGTATCTGGAAAAGAACAATCTCTTTCTAAGAGCTTAACAAGTCTTACAGGGAAACTTATCATGCCTGATATGTCTTACTGAAAGAGAAGGCTGGGCCAGGTCAGGGGACAATACAAGACTCATCAGTGTCGTTTCCACAAACCCCAGGAAATTCTTCGAAAATAACCTCACAAAAGACTGGTTGCGAGGTTGGAAAAACCTGGAACTAAACTGGATATAGGGATTCTCGATAGGCAAGAAACAGAGACTCGGGATCAGCTCAAAACTCTCCTCTTGGAGTGTGCTGTGAAGCCCGATAATCTGTCACTCCATTCCATTTTGAAAATCAAAAAGTTAACTGCGATCACCTATTCCCTTATGACTACAAAAATAAGATAACTGACTGGCAAAAATTACACGCCCACTCTGCAAGAAGATCCGAACAAAGTTTTCGAAAGAATAGGTGCTCTAGATTGAATGTGGCGCCACTGGTTCAGTTTGATACGCTAACCCGGTCTGCAGCGAATAAAACTACTATCATTCTATTAACATACAAGCCAAGGTGTCATGATAGAGCTCGACTAAATAATTACAGCAACATGTTTTGTGGTGGCAGATCATCTTTCCATTCTTCCAGCCGAGCCTTCAATTCCTCCACTGCTTCCCTTCTTCTGATCCTATTCTTCAACAATCAACCAGGTCTTTTTCCAAACCTTTTATCCTTGATGTTAGATGCGTTTTTGAGAACAATATCCTCATCGATGACTGTCCCTCGTATTGTTTTCCGCAGTTGTTGCCGATTGTGAAGAACTATCTTATATTTATTTCATCTGTCTTCTCCAGAAACAGGTCACGAATAGTAGAGCCAACTACCTCAAGATCATATGAATGCTGGACAACTGGTTCCAACTTTTCTGACCCCCTCCCCAAGTTTCAAATAATCACACAAAAATTAGAGATAGTTTCAAAATAGCATTAACGGTGATAGAGATCTTGTTATCAAATCCCACAATTTTGTCTTTCCTGTAGCCTTTAAATCTTACTTTTCCATACTACCTAATTGGCATTAGTTTCTTCCACTCTGCTCTTGCCGCTACAAAGGGTCACCCATTCACCCGATACATCCAACTTCGTCTCGATATTTTGGCTAGCTGGTCTTAAGGCACTATCACTAAATGAATTATAATCATATTTCAATAATTTACTGTCATCAACAGTACTACCACTACTTGCACTCTTAAATTTTCGAAGTTTGCCATTTATCTGTGCAGCAAATTTTTAAGCACTTTGCACCTCTTTCGTGTTTAACATCTCAGAGTATAGTTCAGAATCGTCATTCCGGATATCGATTAGAATGCTGGCTTGTTTCCCTCAGCTAAATTTTTAATCGTCTTCTTGGACATGAGAAGTTCTACGGCCTTTTGAGTGAGAACGTCGAACAAATTGTTGCAAAATTTGCAAAACCAAGAAAGCGATGTCTTACTACATCTCTTATAGATCAAGGGTGACAAGCCAGTGCAAACTTTATGACACCACAGGTTGCAGCTATCAAACTGCTTACTGTCACTCACAGGAGACAGTCCGTTCGTCCAAAGTTATTGATGCAACTTATATCGGCATAAGTTATTCAAATTACACAGACACAAAAATTCATACCAAGATAAAAATGATTTCTAACAGACCCAGGTTTTCCAAGACTTCATGTCAACCATTTTATATACTTCAGCGTGTCTCCTTAGTTACATTACTTGGTCAAAAATGAAGTTTACCACACTTCTTCGCAGTATTCCCTAGTTTAGATTGCGCGGCTTCGCGGACGTCATCTGAATTGGAGTATTTCCAATTTCTAAACTCTTTTTTTTCTCAGAAATACGATCAGTGATCAGCAACAATCCCAAACCCCGAATCACGAGGAAGCTAAATGATAGATTTTCTTTAGTTTGCAATGTGACTTTCGCAACGAATTCTTTAAATTAAGCAGAACATGAAGGACTCCTGCAGGAATGTTTTGTTGATGTTGTTATAAACAGTAATCCTTTAGCTTTGGTTGGTATCATCATCGGGTCTGCATGTTTCCACTAGGAAGTGGGCTGTGTCGGTAAATAACCACTTACAGTTAATAGCGCACGTTTACATTGGTATTCGACACAAAGTTATTAACTTTTCGGCTTATTTTATTTAATAGAAGCATTCAAATAAGCATCACAATCATCTAACGCGCTGTCCTGCTACACTCAGTTATTTGTGCACAACTTCTAGATAGCCAAACACGATGTCGGTCTTTTAGCAACGGCGTCGGTATAGACGTCTTGCTCGGTACCATAAAATTCTTATTCTTTTTAATTAGTTGTGGTCTGCTGTTACACAAGTATATTTAAGTTAGATGAAAATTGCATATATCCGCCATTTCGCCTTAGGCTAGTAGGGAGAGATTAAAATTTATTATGAAACACTGAAATGTTGCTAATTAACCATTATGATTTCTCTTATATGTGATGCTTCCTATAATTTCAGTAACAATTCGTTGAGTTAGTAACGACTATTTAGGGAGACTGCACTGTTCTGTACACGATTCAAAATATTTGGTATCATCGTTGCGTAGAAACCCATTATTGATATATATAGGTGAATTTTATTTACAGCAATGTCTTTGGAAGTAAGTGAAACGCATATACTTTGTTATGGACGCTCAGAGGTAATAAGTATAGTTTAAAGTAGGATAGTACGAGAATGACCGAAGATGATTACTGAAAATGAAGTAAGATAATCTTTGAAGTACAAAGACAAATATACAAGAAACTACAAACAGACATTGAATTATATTCAACAGTTAGCCCAATTAACCAATGCAAGGAGAATACAAAACTCTTTGGAAAAAACTGCTTCATCTTTTCAAGTTTAGATAAATAAAAAAGTCCTATTTACTTACTCGTCTATGACATGATAGGTTTAAGCAGACAGTATAAACACGATGATAAAGTAGAAGACAGGACGTTATGTGCAACAATGTTACATTTTACAAAAAATAATACGAATTTGAAATCACCGAGTTATACGATTTGCGCACACACTTTGCATCACCTGTACGCGATCTGTAAAACCTGAACCAAACGATGAATTTTCAGAATTAATACCTTGATAAATGCCAAATTTCGCTCCAAACTCTTTTCGAGATTGAGTAAGAGGCATTTTTACAGGAAACGACTCAGTTGTTCTCTTTGACAGAATAGTATTATTTGAATGATTCCAATGATGTTTAGACACAAAAGATGCAGCTGCTTCTTCCCAAGGCAATTTTCTTGCTGTCGATCTTGAAACTGAAGTGAATATTGAAGCAGTTTCTTCGGAGTTTGAGTTAACATCTTCATTTGAAACCTCAACGGATGACTTCGCGGAAATGGCCTTTGATAATTCTGAGTCGAGTAAACTATCGATCGCTTTTTGTTCAATATGCTGCTTAATCATATTCATCAGAACATATTCACTGACAAATTTTTTTGAATAGGTTATACTAGTGTTATAAGGAAAGTATATATCTCTCTTTGGTGAAACATTAGAGTTAGTTTCATCATTGCTTTTAGGAGAATCATCACACACTGGATTATTACCATTCAGTGTCTCAGCTGAGTAGGAATACTGGAAAAAAGGAAAAGAAACAGATTTAGTCATAATGTAAGGTGGTAACTGCCAGTATTTTTCCTGAAGACTATAGGAAAGTAAGTACAATTGCCGATAGCAAACAGTCAAGCATATATTTTTTTCACTTAATGAATTTGAACAAAGCAAGAACAACAGTTTTTGCGGAAAAAAATGGTACCATCATTTGTTTCGTCACCTGCTCATCAGCTGCTTACAGTCCAAAGACATTATTAAATATGTCTACAGATACAGTTTTAACATACTTACACAAGGAGTTTATTTTAAAACAAAAACCAATTGATCAATATATGCATACAATGCTAATAATAACAGTAATGATAAAAACTTTATCCGAAACATTAATGATCATACACAATGGAGACTTTCGGCATTACGTAATTATATGAAAACATCCAAGGCTGATAGCCACTTCTTTCTGAACACATAAATCAGATTTTAGTCGTCCGATGCAGATTGTTTCGGCAAACTTAAGGAGAATTGAGCTCCTTTGTCTATTGATAATTTTGAAGGATCTTGCGACGTCCACCTCATAACTCCTGTGTCAAAGATATGCCTGGCGATGGCACTGTTTAAAGCATTTGTTCGTTTAAAAATAAACTATGTGAAGGTATGTTAAAAGTATTTCAGTAAGCATACCCAATATCTTTGAGCTACAGGCAGCTGATGATAAGCTAAAGAAATAAATGATGGTACCATTTTATTCTGCAAAAACTTTTCTTGCTTCGTTGAGAGTCAAGCATATGTATTATTATGAATCATTAACATAAACCATTATGAAGTAATTCACAATAATGGTTTACGAGCTCGCCTTGTAACCAGAAGGTCCTGGGTTCGAGCCTTTTCGGTCGGTGCATACCGGTGAAGAGTCCCAAACTGGGCTAACCGAACAGCTGTCTAGTACTCCCAAGTTTTCCAATTGTTCTCTAACCAATGTCACCTCATGATGAAATCATGTAACCAATTCGCAATAAGATCAAGAAATTCATAATCTTAAACCATTGATTTTCGTCCAGCGAATAACATTTTATTCTGAGATACAACCTAATGGGACCAAACATTACGATTTATATTATATTTCATAATAATGTTTCAATGTCTGAATTCGATTGACTGGTAGAGTGCAATAAAGTGAAAGAAAGACGTTCATTACTCTGAAATCAGTGTGGAAATCTATTGCATTTAACGTGAGGTATTACATCCGAATTTTTGACATTAATGTCAATTCACTGCTTGTGCATACTTCAAAGACTTGATACATGTATCGCTGAAAACATTTCCTATAGGTTTCTGCAGACTTTCATGAATATCTGCATTCGCCAAAAGCTTATGGGAAGTCGTGAAGCTAGTTCAAAAAGACTGTAGAGAACAGAGTGAAATGGTGGTGTGCTGTTGAATCCACACATTCCACTTGGAACCCAAGAGAACAAAGATATGATACAGTAATTTGAATGTTATTCAGTTATTTGGCGTGAACTTATTTACTAAATTGAGTCAATAACCGAATGGTTATTCATAAGACTAATACTGGAGTTTGAGAATTGATAGGATATCCAACCTACTCACAATGACCTAAGTTATGGTCTCAAATAAAACAAGACTTGAAACATTTAATTCTATGGCCTCGTTGCTTACTACTATAATGAATGTGAATCATAAAGTGTAACAAACAAATCATCATTTATCGCATTAAAACATGCACAGATGCAACACAAATCAATCACTGAAAACTGTAAGAAAGAAAGATTTATGTCACAATTTTTTCCAATCATCTACAATGATCTACACAGATAGTGATAAAAAATTACTGGTTAAACTAACTGAAGTACACTTTAGAGTGTGAAAACCATAATTAAAACGGGACATAAATAAGTTATTTGACACCTAAATAGATACTAAGAAAATGAAATTTAGAGATACTAGATATGTTTCGGGTCTCATTGAGGATATAGAATTAAGATTAATTACAGCGCCCCTTTTACTTCCACCTAAGTATGCCATCTGGAGATTTCTGCTATGACCACTTCGCTTCGTAGCTGGGATATAGAAGCTTTTAGAAACGAATGGTTGAAGTGGCTTAAAGTCTGTTACCGCATTGTAAACACATACACACACTTACTTGTTTGTTTCACCATCCTCCTATTTCCACATATCTTCGAGACTTCACAAAGCATGGCTTATGTAATTACTACCTCGCATTCACTATCATTCAGTTATGATCATTATTGTACTCTTTACACTCCTGTCATAATTTGACTTATTATTGGTAAGTATCACTGATCATACTTCTCTCTGAGTATTGTTTCATTCCCTTTTCTATTTGTTCATAACCACAAACCTCCATTTTGTTTATAAGACTGGTATTGCAGCCGATTTCTTGATAGAACAGTGTGCACTTAAGCTGTTTCTTTCATTTAAACGTCAATAGGCTTTACAGAACTAATAATAATTTAATTACCTAATCATTACTCTTATTTAATAATGTAGTCCTATATCTTGGGATTATCCCGTGATTTCTATTTTACGCGTTACACTAGCTTCGGATTTCATTATTCCATGGGTCAATTAGTGGTTTGGCTTTCCGATTTCTAAAAATAATCTACAGGGTATGGATTGAAAAACATAATTTTTAACACCCAAATGGGGGTTGAGAATCTAAGTAATGTTGCATTGGTTTTTTAAGTATAATTATAAGCTATAATAGAAAATATCTAAGGAAATCTACTACTTTATCGACTACTTCTCAGTGACCAATTAACATTCATATAAACATACCTATAACCATTTGAAACTTGTACACTTACCTTTGGTGGCCAACAAAACTGCATTTCTTTAGAGCTTGCCAACTCCCATAATTTAGGCTTCCTACCATTGGAATGTTTAACCGGCAAATCTTCAGCATTCACTTCCTTTGTTTGAACTTTTAAGTTTGAATTGTCACTTTCATCAATTGAAACTGATGACCAGAGAGCTCTTTTTTGCCAACTACGTACAGCTCCAATTAAACGTTGATCTGGACATATACATTCATTGGAGGAGTTTTCAATCTTCTTATTGAGAAAGTTTGATGACACACAACTTACGCTATCACATTCAGAAGATTTTACTTCTCCTGTTTGATATTCTAAGGTATTATTGGAAGTGAAAGATTCAGATTTGACTGACTGACGGTTTCTCAATGATTTTTGATTCTATGGTGGATAAAAAATAAACTTGTAGTATGAAATAAATTATTTCATTTGAAATATAAGTAAAAGTTTAGGTTATCTCCACTCTTTCTGATGCCAAACCTTAAATAAACACTAAATCCTTGTAGATTACACTAGAAGTTATGTAATATAATGCATCAAGAGCTTCTTTTGCTCTGATAAAAAGCAGACAGATATCTACCAAATATCCAGAAAGGCAAACCAGAAATATTGCAGAAAACAAAGTAAAATCAAAATTCAACCATACTACCTACATGACTGAAGCATCATCACACGATCATTTCGATGGTGTGCTTACTGAAATGACAACTGACTGTTGAGAGAGACTCAGGCAAATTAAGCTTTAAAAAAAGTAGAAAGAATGACTTGTATTTGCGTTATGAATTATAATTACAGATGCTGTTATCTGCAGGTGTGAATACTGCCGATACGGTGTGATGTTGTTTACGAAGGTTTAATGCAAGAGTTTAATAGATGATAACGATTTGACTACACTAATCGATACTCTGTCAAAGTTGACAAGTACAGACACGTTTCAGTATTGAATTACAATAAAATGCTGGTCTATCAACGAAAATGAACAAACACTTATGGTACACAGGTTGAATGAAGTATGAAAATTTTGTTCAGTGTAACTAATTTAATAATTTCAAATTATGATGTGACAACAAGTTGTTAAGTCTGCCGAAGTGACTGTTTTCCAAGATTTAGAAAAATTCGCTGTGCATGTAATATCCAACGTTCACTGAAAATTAAAGATTTACTGTTGTACTTTCTTAAGTGCGACAAATGGAGTGTCTGGATGTCACAATGAACTGACAAAGGTTAGATAACCATTGGAAAACCCACAATGAGTACAAGACAGCCGTTTTGTTTTAAATTTGAAATCTTCATCAGAACACACCCATTGAGATTCGAACCCAGGACCTTCCGGTAACAAGGCGCCCTCATAGTCCATTAAACCGCTGGGACCTGGGTGAATGGCCCATGAATTCTAACTTCTGCCAAACCACAATATGGAACGACCACTAGCGGATGTCATCAGCGAGTATTTGTCCTCACACCCGATTAGCTGTACCCGTTGGTCACGACCAATCAAATCCTCGCAAACCAAGACTTTAACATTGATTATCTATAAATTACCCTTATTACTCTTAGTATTCTGGTCTCTTTATTTTTATTTTTAAATGTATCATGGTTGGGCATGTCTGAAGAATACTACAACAAGACGAAACATACGTCGTCTTGCTGTTTTAAATGAAACCTAATTTATACCGTTTATTCAACTACCAACTAATACTTGCTTCACGAAATAAAGACAGACTGACTAAATTTGCCTGCTTCGTATGTATTTACAAGCGTAACTGCTCCCGTGGAGCTAGTTGCATTAGGAAAGTTCATCACTGAGTTTTTGAACGCCATCCATCTTGGTTAGGCGAGGAACTGAATCAGTGTTCACGTAGTTCATTACTACCTTTGCGTGTTGATACATTTTACAAGTAATGACATGAACTTACAGTTTGCCTTTTTTGAGGAAGAACAGTAATCATATTTGTTGGACAACAAGTTGACTGTAAAATACCATTGGGTAGAATTATCACAGTTGATCGCTGACATGCTACTTGTTGCTTTTTATACACTGACTTCAATTTTTCAAGATCTCTAGTCATACGAGCTTGATCAGCTAAAGATGTTTTATCCGTAGACGTTAATCTTGGCGCATCACTAACTGCACCAGGACCAATCTAAATTAAATTTAGACAAAAAGAAAATGAATTAATAACAACGAAAATAATTGTTCTGGGAAATGTGTGTCTTGGTGTAAATTTCATTTACAAGAATTTTCTAATTCGTAAATTACTGACGCATCCAATACTATTACGGTGGAATTTAAACCATTCAGAAACGTCAAAGTACATTAAAATCATTCTAAAAAAACTTATTTTTTGCTGGCATGGTAGAGACGGAATGACTCAGGCTGGTGAAAGCTATTCGAGAAGCTGTATGTTTATGTCACATGTCAAATAATTCACAACGGAAAAATTGACGAAGCTTTTGAAGTGAAGACAGGAGTAAGACGAGGCTGCTTAATATCACCGAGGACAATACTGACTGTAGTGGACTGGATCATGCAACAAAGCATGAGAAACGAGAAGACGAATTCGAAGATCAGCAGGTAAAAACGAACAACTTGGAAGAAAAAGCAAAAAAGACAGGACTTCAAGGGAACATATGAAAGACTGAAGTGACGCAGATAACCAACCAACATCAACAACAAACAGCGCCACTCTCTGTCCATCGGAGAAATTTGAAAGAGGTCACTTTCTTTACTTATCTAGGCACTACAAACACACGGCACTGATGAGGACGTCGAAACCAGAATTGGAAGTCCAAAATACACCTTAATCACTTAGAAACCAGTTTGGAAATCTTCTGCACTCCACAACATGAATAAGAAAATCCGAATTTTCAACATCATTGGTAAGTCAGTCAGTATTTCTATGTGGGTCAGAATCCTGGAGCGTCAAGTAAACAATTCCAACATGTTTTCAGACATTAACCGACAACTTCCTTCGCTCTATATTGAAGATCAGATGACCAGAAAGAATTAGCAACAAGAAACTCTGGGAATGAATCAACCAAGAACCTATGGCTCAACAAACGTGCCGAAGAAAATGGAGATGGAAAGTGGATACACTAAACAGACCATGAGTGAAATCGCGCGCCAGGCACTGGAGTGTGAAGCGACGAGTTGAGTGACATGGAGGAAATCACGTGAGGAAGAGATGAAAGCTAATGAGCAATCATGGGACCAGCTGAATAGAATTGCGGAGGACGGGATAAAATGGAGATTTCTCGATCTACTCCAGACTTTCTACTAAAAATCTTTGAACAATAATCACTACATAAATATGGACTATAAATAGCCTCGCAATGCATTAATAAACGCGTGAGACGTAAGTGGCTTAAGAAATAGCGATTTATTCAAGCACTATTTAAACAATCTTCTTTACTATTTTGAACAAAAACAATAAAAACTGAGTCAGTTTAAGATGATGATGATTATTAGTAAGCGGGTATCAATCTGAATAGTATACATTCAGAAGAATAGTAATGCATAACCTGCACATCTCATTGTTTATGAATTCATAATAAAATTGAACAGAGGAATACCGCTGACAACTTCCAGTTGACTAACCAATACTGAACTTCGTACCGATTTGGGCTATTTCGAGTACCACGGTAAAAAAAGCACAAAATGACAGAAATGTTATGACAAATGGGGAGAAGATGATTCAGTGAAGGGTTAAGAAGATGTTTAGAATTTAAGTGACAAATAGGTAATACATCTGCCTTATTCTGAAGCGTTTTAAGCCACTTCATGAAGAGTTTACAAATACTGCTTCTTGACGTATCGAAAGCAAATTAAATCTCATATCTCACTCATCAACTGTCAGTGATTTCGAAGATTGGTTCTGTGTTTCAGTCTGATCATTTTTAACTGCTTTCCAATTTGATACTACTAATAATAATCAACATATCTTCATTATGCATAATTTTCAGCGTAGTTTATTGTATAACATTTATCCTTTGTTCCAGAATTTCAAGTAAAACAGCCATCTCCAGTACATCGCGTGATGTAGTGATGTTAGATCTGAAGAATACAATAATCCACTATGGTATTTTTTTGTTGTCCCACAGAAATGCTCAACAATAGACTGCAAACCAATTAAAGATGTACACGAGTACATTTGGGGGCCCACGGATATAATTGAACGGTTATAACAACAAAACTAAAGAAAATAAGATGCATTGTCTTGAATGGAAATTCAGGTAGCCCAGAGATTCAAGGAGGCCGCCAATGCCCCCCCCTCAGGCAACATTTTTAAAAAAGGAAGTGATAACTCTTAGTGAACCATAGTTTCTACAGATTACTAATGTGGCATACATTTGGACTAAAAAAAAGTTTCTAAAATTTCTGTGCATACATATGTTTCCATTTATGTTACTTTAGCAGTTTAAAAATAAAATGAATGCTGTGAACTGGAGTGTGTCTGTCTGTCTGTCTGTTTTCGACATAGAACTTTGCACATATGTGCGGCAGTTCAAGTCGCCACACTCCATGTAGCATACAAAGCAAGAGAAGAAAGTAGAAGAAATCCATATTAGAGACAGTAAACAGAGGTGTGAGACAAAGGAATAGTAGTAACGAAGAACAAAATAGTTTTATTGGAAATCACAAGTCACAAGGAGTGGATGCATCTGCGCCAGCCATTGAGAACGACTTTGAGCCATGTCACCAATTGTTTCCAACCATTGGTTTTTTTACCGTCTCGAGGACTCCAACCGGGAAGTCTACACCTTCCTACGTGGCTTAAACTAACTGTCGTGGATTTCATTGACTGGTGACATATTTTGGTTTGACCACCGCTAGCTTGTTTCTAGCCTGACCCTATATCAGCTAACATTGCCCGTCGAGGAAGGCGATGATTAGGCATACGTAAGACATGTCCCAATGATCTCAGTCGATGTGGCTTCACAGCCTCGTCGATTGATTTCCCTCCTTACCTAGAACTCGACGCCTAACCTCAATATTGCTCACCTTATTATACCACTTCACACGGGAGATAGAACGCAGGCACCTACGATCGAAAACAGCTAGACTAACTTTTCATGTCTTCCACTCTCAATGGTCAGGTCTTACAGCTGGTCATAAAGGAGGACGGAGCGTACTGATAAGCAGTACATCCATCCTTTGGTCGATAGTCGGATATCACATCTACGTCAGAGACGGCGTAAACTGGCATATGCGAAACTAGCCATCTATATCCGCGCTGAGATTTCGTCAGAGATCAACCCGATGGCGTTGGCTAATGTACTTCCCAAATAAATGAAGTGGTCAACGTGCTCTACCACTTCACTTCCTATTTCTAATCTAGGAGTTGGTGTAGTCCACTCGAGTAAAATCATAATATTATAAAGTGTTCAAACTAGTACTCTAGTGTAGTGTTTCGGTTGGACATTAAAGATTAGTTCTTCTGAATGACTGAGGTTGTTGGAGGACGGGGGTTGCAGGCAATCAGTAGGAAACTTTGAACCTAGTTTTAATGCTTGTTGAGATTTCAGACTGAGTCACCAAAGGATGGACTAGACACATGACATCAGTTACCGCCAAGTGTCAAATAAAAGCGAGGTATCTTTAATTTACGTTGTTACGTATTATGCCATATTAATTAAAACATAAAGAGATACGAATACTCCTCGATAGTGAATGACGGTAGTCGACTTATTCTTTGTTTATCAAGTTCACTTGGAAAAAGGCTTAAGATTCTTCAATAGGAATTGTTAAGTAAATGCGAAGTTTTAACTTTTTTTAAATGATAAATGTGTACTTACATCACTGATATCTGAACACACTCTTGTTTCACAGTTATCCACTGGACTGCTTCGAAGACTTCGAAACCGGAATAACTTCAATGACCTGTGATGATTATCAACATCATTCCTGGTGTTGTTGCTTTGATTACAATCATGATGAGAAGCATTTAATGATTTCATTGAAATACTTTCTGTAATACAAGATTTCCTAGAAAATAATGACTCAAAATCATCATTATTATTTTTCTCCGGCCAAAAAGCTGAAAAACATCTAACAGCTCCTTTGATTGGAGGATTGACAAGTTTTCTTAATTTGTCATTAGCCTCATTACGACTGGTATTATTGGAATGAATATTCTGTGTTTTACTGGAAGTGAAAAATTTTCCTGAAGATTGTTTCGGTGACTGAGAATGAATATTTGGAGCTAAATTAATCTCTTCATAAGTATCATTCGTAGATTCCAGCGTATTTACTCCTCGAGGTGACTGATTTTCATCATTTTCTCTTTGATTGACCTTTAGCTTTTCTCTGAAAGGTGATTGTGCTAAAATAATCAAAATAAAAAGTATGACTGACTTCATATATTGATTAACTTTTATTGTATAATTTCAACAACATAAATTATTTTGTAAAGAACTGAAAGTATAATTTTTGAAAACCAGGAAATAGTGGCTATTTTGTAAATGAGCAGTACTATGAGAAATCAAGGGAACTAGGATACAAGCTGTGATACTTTCTAACCATAGATTCTATGGAAAGTTTCATTTTCTTGACATTAGCATGCAACACCTAGAAGTTGGTAGTCTCCAGAGGTCAATTTACCGAAAGCTAATATGAAATAGGCAATACTTGCATTTTAATGGCTTTTGTTCAAATGGCTATTAAACGAGCACTAGTCAAGACTCTGTACTATAGGACTAGGAGAATAAGCTCTAAAGCGAAATTAGACGAAGAATTTCTGATTCTTGAAAAAATGATAAAAAACAACAGTTACTCTTAGAGATTCATTAACAAATGAGGAAGATGTGAAAGTTCAAATGGCAAACAAATCACAGTGGATACAAAAAAATTCTATCTTCATTCAACTCGATTTCAGGGGGTGATAATGAAGGAATAATCAATAGAAGATTGGATACATCACTAGCCAGAACCTGTCTTGCAGCTAAGTTGGTTCCTCGTCTATCATACAACATGCTCTTTGATGCAATCAAAAGTCGACAGACACCTTTTTTATTTTAACTCTAACTGTATAAACAAATTTATATTTGTCTGCGGAAGCAGTAACATTGAGAGAATAGAAAGAAGGGCATACCTCCTACTTTCTGAACGTGTACCAAAACGTCTACTTCTAAAGGGAACAAACGTTTTCAATAATGTCACTAACAGGCATTTTCTTGACACAGGCCATGAGGTGGACGTCGCAAGGTCCTACAAAATTATCAGTAGACAAAAGAGTTCACTTGTCCTCAAGCTTACTGAAGCAATCTCCATCAAGCACCTGAAACCCGATTTATGTGTTAAGAAAGAAGAAGTTATCAGTCTTTCCTTGCCTTGGTAACTGGATGTTTTCATCCTCCTTTTCATTTGATTACGTAAGGCTGAAAATTCCATTGTGTAGGATTATTACTGTTTCAGATAAAGTGTTTATTATTATGATTACTGTTATTACCATTGTATGCATACGTCGATTTTCTGTTGAAAAATGAACTCCCTGTGTAAGCATGTTAAAACTGTTTCTGTACATAAACCTAATATTGTCTTTAGGCTATAAGCAGCTGATGAGAAGGCGAAGAAACAAGTAATGATACCATTTTAACCCGCACAAATCATTATTCTCGCTTTACTCACACTGATAAAGGGGAATAAATGTAAAAAATTACAATTCGGGAAAAATAATTATATGCTTTTCAAAATGTAACAGAATTGTCTACAGAATCTCAAATTTACGACTGCAGTCATCATAGTAGCTACCATCAATATGTCAGTAAAAAACAGTTGGATTTTGTTAGGAATCTATATATGTAAAAAATCTTGTTGTCATAATCGTGATAAGAAATGATTACCAATGTCCGAATTGCAGTTCAGTCAAAAGCCAACAACTAACAATTCCCAGCAGGTCAAATACATAATACATATCGAGATAGCTTATTTAATCTGACCATTATTATACTGTAATTGTGGTGAGAGCTGTCTGCTAGCCAGAATTGGTAGACAGCTAATTACGTTCATGTTTACGTCCCGATTCAGGGTGATGAGGAAAAACAATAACAAAGCTTAACCTTGAGGAGCTCATCAGCCAATCACAGCAGACTTAAAGTGTGCAGATACGATTCGCAGATATATGGCTTAACTTTCTAAGAAACGGTTACAAGCAGTACAGAATAACCTTCAGAAAGAAAAATACCAATCAACGATTATCTACAGACTTTTTACATTTAGTTAATAATACTACAGTGACAACATTCTAAATAAACAGAATTCAAAATTACTTACGATCTACGTATATCAACTATCTGGTTACGTAGGTACGAGGGAAGAAAAGTCTTAAAGTTATAGGTTTACAGGTCTAGAATGAACAGGTTAAAGAACAAAGGTTGATGTAACCATTCAGATATATGTTGTACTAAGTATGATTTCTTTAACTTTGAGTGCATTCACTTAAACAGAAGATTTAAGACCGTTCTTTTGATGTTGTTTAGACGAGCTTATTAACATTTATTTGGTGGATGGTGACTAGCAATAGAATCCAAGATGCTCATTTCGCCCTACTTGGGACTCATCAGCTGGATGCATCTCCATTTCTCAGTGAGTAATGATGTTTCCACCAAGGCTCGAACCCAATTCCCAAGTAGAGCCTATTAACAATTACCAGAATGGTTGTTCAAAAACAAGAATGCAGAAGTGTACGCAGATGAATTCTGGAGCAGATCATTACTTCACTCGGAGCCATCATATATAACGTATAATCAAAATGTTGAAAAGAACATCACGTAAAACTTCTTTTTCTTCATTAAATCAAACTTATAGTAATCCGTAACATAACCATTCTGAACTTTGTGTTCAGAAATTTTTTTTGCAGCCTGTTTTACTACCATGGCCTTAGTGTCAACTTTTTGTTTCCTTGTAAAGCTGTATAAAAGAAACTCTTTGTAGTTCTTCTTTTGTTACCAGTGATTTTCATGTGATCCTATATCAACTAGCTATAGAGTTGTCGACCCACTTGATTACGTAATATTATTCCAGTCTTCAAACGTTGTTATTACTCATACACTTAACTGACAATAACCTCTGACCTCTGTTGTCAATTAACACTGGATGCATAAATCCCCTAAATAACTGTATAGCTTTGAAGTGAAGTTACGAAAAGAGATCTCTCTGTTGGCTCATTTATTGTTGACCCATTTATAATTTTAAAACTTTAAGTGATAAACAATTACTATGGTAATAAAACTAGTTTTCCTTTCTTTACGATTAAACATTATGCCTGAAGTGTATATTTATTCATCATAATAAACCTCAGAGGATAAATTAATATGATTTTGCAATATTCTTACTTCTACACTGTCTGATTATTGATAAATTTCACTTACTTAAATGAAAAATAGTAGTACTAATAAGCACCATAGAAAATACTGATAAAACTTACCATTTTCCCGCTTCACTGCAGTACATGTTGCCGTAGTTTCATTTGAACATCTACTACAAAACAAAAGTGGTATGAAATTCATTTTTATCTTTCAACACGTTTATGGTATATGCCACACAAATCACCAAATATCTACAATAATTCTGTGTCAATCGATGTATCTTCTTATTACACAAAAAGCACGCTAATTTAGAATAATCAAACCGTTGTTGAACTCTTCAAATAAATATCACCAACAGTATGTTAATATATTAGACTGCGGAATTCTTGATGCATGTGAGTAGCACGATAACAACTATAACGATAACACCTTATTCTTTTATGTCCATTAATTTATCAGAAAAGGTTAGAAAAGCAATGTGATAAATATAAAAGCTGAAACGATTATCTGTGTATGTAATTTACTTCGTGCATCGGTGGCACAGCAGTAGAATTCACGCCAACCACGCATTTGACCCATGGTTCGATCCCTCGTCGACGCACTGATTTACCTCACTAAACCAGTAATAAGACTGGTAAAGAGGAAAGGTTGGGCATGGGGCTAGCAACCCCATCCTGTAAAAATAAACACCACTGCTACCGAAACTTCAAGCCTCTAGCTTGAAGTCTTATGTTCCACTGGGAACGTTAAGAAATAAAAATAATAATTTCCTTCCATTCGGTGTCCTATGCTTATCGTTATTATTGACATAATTCGTGGGTTGAATTACACAATTTTGTGTGATACATCCAAATAAAAAGGGGAGGGAGAACCTCCCAAAAAATAAATATATTTTTTCATGATGATTATGGTGGGGATAATTCTAGTGAGGAGGGAGAGTGATACGGACGATTATGCTAGTAATAAGCACTGCATACAACGCAAGGTAAAAAAAGAATACCAGTTAGTAACACCAGATGGGTTATTATTATCATTATCTATTGTTTATATTTTCACAGATCACAAGATATTTAACAACAAAAAACTATCAAATATTAAATTTAGGTAGGAATGTTCTTCGTGTAAACTGAGAATACAGCAAACCAAGGCGAAAAAGCGGAATGACAGATGGGGGAAGGGAGAAAGATGATAAGGGGAGTCTGTCTTGTTGTAACTTTGTATATAAAGAGAAAACAAACTGAAATTTTATCACCTTGTTAAGCATTTCTACAAGCAAATAGTTAATAAACACTAAGAAAAGGGGGGAAACACAACAACTATGCGCATTTTAGCTGTCCAAATCAGTTTACAAACTCCAAATTATATCTGAAATGTATGGATTTAGATAAGTGGAACAACTGGATTAGCCTACTTTCAGATAATTGTTTATATTTATGAAATATAAAAGTCAACTATTATTAGTATAACTGTGAAAGGCGGCTTTTATTCACAGCATTTCACTGTCTTTCTTGTTACAAAACTATTGAAGATTGTTAGTCAGAATGCTTTTGATGTCTGTGCTTGTTTACTCAGCAGGTGCAGTGAATAATTCAACTGACGACAGCGATTCGATGGTTCTTAAACTGATGTCAGTTCATAATCTAATTTGAATTCAAAAAGAACTAGGTGGTTTCTACTGGAAACTGAACATTCTTATTACCTCTGTTATTTGCTTGAAGCTTTACTTAATTTATTCCTTTTCTAACAATATTATTCTCTTGTCGTTATTAAAGTGTAAGACAAAACATTGAAACATTGAATGTACAAAAATATTTGTACACGTATACACATGCGCGCGCGCAGTATGAATCTTTGATAGACATATGTGTGTATCAGTTGTGTGCCGTAACACAATTTCATTAACTGATACAGATTAAATTCATTTACTGTGTCAATATATATGATAATAATACCTGGTGATTCAGGTTTATTGTTGTTCGAAAAGGTTCATACTATATTATAGAGATGTGAATTTAGTTTCACATGTACAACGCAAACATTTATTGACAGACCAACTTTTGTATTTTTAGTAAATTGAAGAGATATGATCGAAGTGTGTATTCGGTATCCCAGTGTTTTGAATTATTACTTCTCCTTGTGAAAAGACAATTTAACATACGAAATATGCATAAACTTTCACATACTACTAACACTACTGTATATGTTACAAATGCGCACTTCTAAAAGAATACATATATTTCTTTTTGAGAAGCATATATTTATTTGTTCAAGAATATTAAGACTTACGAGTGTCAACCTAGTTGTATGAAAAGAATTTTACTCTCCAGTTATTAAATACCAAGAAACATATAAAAGCAGTGATTGACTGGCCTAACAACTACTATATAAAATATCGTTATTTAAAATAAAAGATTATTTGGTTACTCGTTATAAGCATAGTGCTATAACGGGAGAAGTATTGGATTTGTGGATTTCTTTGACTGCTACTTCAACACAACAATACACATCTGATCATTGGAACTACTGTTGCTTCACTGAGATTGCTCCATGGAAAAAGCAATTTCACTAGACACTACAGATATTTATATAGTTGTGTTTACTGCATTTCATTTCCATACAACAAGTCGAAGTTAATACAAGTAATATAGACGCAAATTATAACGATGTAAAAAAGTTTAATCATAAATAAACACCTAGATGTTTGGAAGCCTGCTGAATTACAGACAAGAGTTCAGCTTCAGAAATGTGATTAAAGTACCTAAAAATAGGCATTATACAGTCGGAAAGTCTGCAGTGTCTTATCCTCTCAAAGTATGAAGAATTCATTCCTTCAGTACAATATAAATGAATAAATGAATCCACATGGATAGGAATTCAGTGAACCATGAATTTTGGCCAAAGTGATCAGTCAGATGGTCAACGAGCTTGGTCTCATAATCTGAAGATACGGGATTTAGTCCCGTTCGGGGTGATGAGTCCACGCTGATAAACAGTCCCAAAATAGAAGGGAGCAACTTTCTGGTGTTCCCTGGTTTTCAATAATGTCTCTGACTGATGACAGTTCATGGTGAAATCTAACACAATTGAAGTTATTTCCAAATCTCATAATCTAAATAAATAAAGCGTGAAGTGCAAATGAAGTATATTTTGTGTGGTATGCGACCGGCTAGAGGATATTTAGACTTTTAGAAGGTTCGTGAAATACATATAAAAACTAATCAAAAGAGAGTAGTCGACTGCAGTAATGTGTTTTAATCTTATTATAAACTTATTCTTGATTTCACATTTACTCTTCCTTAGCTTTGTGGGCATAATTTGAAAACAAAGATACTTATTTATTCTTATTTTTTGATTACAGCTTGATTCCACAATGTATTTTTGGTACAAGTATGGAATTTTCAGCATGGACATCGGTAGCCCGAATTTTGCAGGTCGACCATAAATATCAGGTGTTCGTCGGCAGGGGATCGAACCTCGGACCATGTGCATGGTTGGCGAGAGTCCTAACCACCGCGTCACCGACGCACATAAGTCAAATGCATTTCTCCTTCATACAGATCTTCCATTACAAAGTAAGTTTCTGCCTACATCTAGGGATTTTCATGCACAAAGAATTACAGTTTGACTACTCAATCTATTTTCTCACTATTGTTTATCATCCACTGAATAACGTCTCAAGTCAGCACAGCTTATTACGACAGAAATGAAGAAAAATACCCCACCAAAATAAATCTCTAAAATATTAGTGAATATTTATAGCTGAGTTAGATGATTATGATATAGTTGAGTTCTCTGAGTTGAGTGATTTAATTGTGAAGCATTAACTGAAAACAAAACACGTAGTTCAGCGAAGAATCTCTTTTCGACGAATTCATTCGCTTAATTGTACAATCCCAATTATATGATTACTTTTGCATATGTGTGTACATTAGCTTTGTCAGACAAGAATAAAAATTAGTTAGGGTTGTTGTTAACGTTATCAAAATATTTCGAAAAATGTGATGAATAATCAAGTTTTAGCTAGGGGGAGGGGGTGAAGATTCGTATGACGGTAGTGATGATGAGTTGTCAAAAGGAGTTGTTAATGTTGTTCAATACATACGAGAAGTTGAATGAGTGTATTGTAGTTCTGTAATAAGATCAATAATTTAATGAGTGAGTTTTGATTAGGAAGTACATAGAAACGAAGGAAACAATGGAATTATTTAGTTGTGAAGAAATACAAGAGTTATAAGCAGTTAGAAAGGCAGGTACTCAAACATCAAGTCCGTGAAAACCAACACGGTTGTAGTCATGATAGTAGAAGTGGTTGGGTGATTTTTTTTTGTATACTTAACTCTGGTCTTTCCGAATGAGTGACTAAAACTTCAGTTATACAAAAAAGATGAAAGCGTATTACACTTGGTAGGTTATTCTTGACTCTGTAGTTTACTTTGAAGGTATTTGTTAAGATGGAATGGTTAGTGTTGACAAGAGGTTCGATTATCGCACTCCTTATAGACCCACTACTACATTTTTTTAGCCATGCAAGACAGTGTTCTCGAATCCTTTCGGACCAATGTATCTGGCTTCATAGCAACATATGGACTGATATATGCACATAAAAGTGGTCAGATGTCGATGAATCTTAGTGGGCATTCTTTTTCTATGCAGATTTCTTTCAGAAGATCCAGTTCTGATCCCAGGGTGTCAGGACTCCAGATGCGTCCGATCTGAGTGGCAAGGGATTTCATTAGATTCCGTTTTCGTTCAACGGGCACACAACTGTAGAAACTTGTTCGATGACCGTTCCAAGTAGGTTTTTTATGGACTGACCTTCAAAACTCTTACATAATTTCATAGTTTCCTTCGTTTCGATGTACTTACTAATCAAAACTCACTCATTAAATTATTCATCTTATTACAGAACCACAATACACTCATTCAACTTCTCGTATGCATTGAACAACATTAATAACTATTTTTGACAACTAACCATCACTACCGTCATACGAATCTTCACCCCCTCCCCCTAGTTAAAATTTTTTGATTATTCATCACATTTTTCGAAATATTTTGATAACGTTAACAACAACTCTAACTAATTTTTATTCTTGTCTGACAAAGCTGATGTACACACACAGAAAAATAACTATATAAATTTGCGATTGTACAGTTAAGTGAATGAATTCGTCGAAAAGAGACTCTTCGCTGAACCACGGGTTTTATTGTCAGTTGATGACTGGATGGGGATTATTCAAGAAGCTTCAACTGTCCATCTTAACAACATCTTCAGAGTATGTTTGAATATAAAGTGAACTTCACAATTAAATCTGCCAGCACAAAGAAAGCAACTATGTCCTAATAAAACTCTGAATAGCGTGTGTAAAATAGCATCATTCTGAATTTCTGTAAATGGACACAGAGGTTCTAAATACTCAAGTTCAAAAAAAAATTTAAGAAACTTACTTATCCTTCTTGAATTTTGTTAGAGTTTTGACAGTACTAGTAGGTTCTAGTGATTCTGGTTTTTTAAAGCTTGTAGAAAAATACTTCAGAAAGTTGAATTTATCAGCTTTCTTCTTATTTTGACCATCCTTAGTAGTACAATCAGTAAATGGATTATTATTCATATTGGTCAGAACTAGTGGTGCAATATTATACATAAACTTTTCGCGTAATTCTTTCAGACCCGGATAGGGAAATGGTGCTAATTCGTATATTTCAAATAATAATTCTTGACTGCTGACAATTTTCCCTTCAGCAAGCGCTGACATTAAATCACTCATAGTAGTGTAAAATTGATCAGCTGACTTTAATTTTAACAAACGGCTGTTGACAAAAAGCAAAGACAAAAAGATTTAGATTGATTTAGCAAAAATAAAAATTTGTAAATCACCAAAATAATATTGGAGATAGCAGTGTGGAAAACAGTCAATATCTTTACGAGTAAAATCACACCTCATTTTGAAGGTCAATAGGTAGAGAATAGGAGAGAGGTTTCCTCACGCATATTATCACAAACGCCACAACAGATACTTCAGATATGTTAAAAAGGTTCATAAGACAACTTTAAAACAGTCAAACATAACAGCTTATATGATATCAGTATTCCAGTAAGCACGTAATGCAAACTCAAATAAAACCAACTAACTGAGGAAATTCAAATCGCAATTGACCGTCTCTGCCTTTCTACCTTTTCCAAATGTACTGAAAAGAAAAGGTGGCAAGTTTGTTATGCTGTACCTTATATACTCAATAAGGACAATGACAGCTGCACAATTAAATCACCAAGATCACATTTTTATGACACAATGATAATAATGCATTTAGCCAACGTGTATTGAAATTGCCTGACTTCAATGCCTTCTACTCATTTCTCAGATTTCAACATTTTAATTTTCCTGGAATTTAAAGTTAAAACTTTCATAGTGAACCACAAGCGTTGGTTGTTCAGGGATGGAGTGCTTGCCAGACAAACGCGAGGCCTCGGTTTGATTCCCGACCGATGCACTCCTGTATCTCGCCTAGTTTACCAGTCGGTAGTAAGCCCGGAGAAGAGGGAAGGTTGGGTGTGAGGCTAGCAACTTCACACAGTAAAAACACAAGCACTACTGAAACTTCATAGCTTCAGCCTTGAAGCCCTGTGCTGCATTCGGAACACAGAGGGATTTAAAAAAGAAGTGAACTTCATAGATTGTAAGAAGTTAAGAACAAATTACTGACGAAAACGAAAACCGGATGAAGAAGAGGGAAGTTTAAGTAGGAGAAATTCAAGTTACATGTGGTCATTGTAAGATTTCAAAGCGTGCCATTCAATCGAGACAAAAAATGAGTCTTCTAACAGAATAACATAATAAACCAAGATCTAAGTGCTTTAAGTAAATACGTGATACGGCTATGAGCAATAAACTGTGCTGGAAACATCACCCAGTTATAAATATTGTATCACTATTCGATTATAACTCATCAATATACACATAGAAAAATATATCAGGCTGTCAAAACAAAGCAGACATCATGTGACTACATATCAGGTATATTAGATAAATTTACCTAATATTGTACCACACTGCCCAAATTCTGCTCTCAAACTCTAAGCATAATATTGTCGGCTAGTTTTTATTTTTTAAAAATCGACTATTATAAACGACGGACACAAATACTATGTATGTATGTTTATTAAATTCCAAACATTTCTCTGAATTCGGAGAAAGGCAATATTGAACTTTATGCACCAGTGACCACTGTTCAGCGAATGACCCTGAACGCACCAATCCCCTATAAGAGGCTTTTTTGGGTATGAAATACATATACTCATGCAAAATAATGCACAAAATCTGCATAAAGATGTTACAGAGGATACCTTTCTTTTACATGTGATGAAAACAATACCCAACTTAATGTAGGAGTATCAACAGAAAAGTTACACCACACCCTGTATATGTATTTATCCACATGACTATAAATAACACCCATTAATGGCTCTAATGTGGTTTTTTGACCTTCCCCAAAAACCTTCGATAGAATTGATGTGTGTCTCCGTAATGGAATCAACAAAATCATTAAAATGATTGACACTGTGGTGAATATATCCAAAGGATGACAAAGAGTTATGACCTTTCCACTCATCTGTGTAGATCTTTGTTTCATCATTTGAGTGATAATTGATATCAAAGTATTTGACTTACTATCTGCTATTCTCTCAAAAAATTCTTTCCGTAGAGAGGTATTGCATAAACCAATCACCTAAACATGTTTTACTCGTACTCAACTATGGTTACATTTTCCCGTAGATAAAACAGTATCATGTACATGTACGATAACACCTTCTCCTCCCAATAGAGAAGTAAGTTTCTTCATTTTTCAGGATGCCTAATGCCTGTAGTGCTGATATGAGACTATTTTCTGGGTTAATGACAGATGGGACCTGGCAAAAATTGTTCCTATGAAACATACGAATCACCAGCTTACCTTCCATTACACTAACTCGTCTCAAACAAATTGCATGACGATGCACATGCCAATCAACTGATCTGCTACAGCTTTTTATATTCATCATACCTCCATATGAACAAATCCTTTCTTTCTAATCAACTCCACATCTAAGAAATACTGGAAGACGAGGTCTTCACCGAATTTCAAACGTAACTGCTTTAGAGCAAGCATTTGACTTGAATCAAGCGGAATAAAAGCTTCAACTCACGTAAACAAAAACTGATTGAACAATTCAAGGTCACTGATGCGGACGCACTCTGTTGAAAGTTACTGGTGCTTAAAGTTTAACTTGGCCCAGAAAAATAATCATTTATCACTTATGTCAAGAATATTTATCTATCTCACCCTACGATTATAAGGGACAGAAGTTTCAGAAAAAATACTTCATAATGATAACTTCATTCTTTAAACCGACAGTAGCTGTGAATCCTGGATGACTGGATTTCAACCTACTGGCTGAATAGTTACTTAGTCATCACCGGAATCGGCAGTCTTCGTCCAATATTTATATATTCGCAAAGTAGAAGAAAACTGCTGGATTGAATGGTTCATTGAACAGTGTCAATGAATGATAAAAACAAATCAAGTAATCCACAGGAAATAGTTTGATGTTCAATCAGAGGTTATTAGCGACTGATCTTATTAGTAAATCTTCTACTAAAACTGTAAGTCTATATACTTGCTACGGTTACATTTTTTTAATTTTTGCATTCTGAGAAGAACAAACGGCTTCAAGCTTTGAAGTTGCAGTAGCGCAGGTGTTTTTGTTTTAAGGAATGAGAGTGCTAGTCTCACACCCAACCTTCACTATTTTCTGGGATCACTATCAGCTAAGTGAGGTATAGGAGGGCTCAGGTGGGGAAATGAACCAAGAGAATCCTACTGTTGGACTGCAATTGAACAAGAATATATATTGACACTACATAAACTTCTTGCGTCGGTGGCGCGGCGGTTAGGACACTGGTCATCCATGCACATGGTCCGGGGTTCGATCCTCAGCCGACGCACTCCTTTACCTCGCTAAGCCAGAAATAATGCTGGTAAAGAGGAAAGGTTGGGCGTGAGGCTAGCAACTCCATCCTGTAAAAATAAACACCACTACTACCGAAACTTCAAGCCACTAGGTAGAAGCCCTATGTTCCGCTGGGAACGTGGAGGAATATATATATATATATATATATATATATATATTTCACTGGAGATCGTTTGCTGCATACATTGATTTATAAGAGAATACAGCATTTAAAATACCTTTCCGCCTTTGTGAACTTCTAAATCTATACGGTTACGAATGATAACATGAATTAATCTTTTTTAAAGAGCAAATTTCAAAGAAACGCTTTTTCACTGAATACGTTCAAGGGAATAATTGAAATGATTTCATTTGTCTGATTTGTTCTAAACAAAATGCATAACAAAACAACCAGATCCCCACAATAGTTGAATTCATTATTTGTGTGGTTGAAGATACAACAACACATATTTGTCAGGCATAAGAAAATTCATTTCTGATAAATACCTTTTCAGAAAATCCATGATAACAATTGCAGTTCTTAGAATCACTTCAGAACCCTCAAGTAGGATACTGTCCCATACACGTAGAACTGCATCCGGAGCTAAACAAGTAGCGAATAGTGTAAGAAACCATTGAATAATATAAACATTCATTAATGGTGGCTCATAAGCACCTTGACTTTTCCCTGATACAATATCCTGTTTATCAAACGGTGGTCGTTTTGCTCCCGACTGATATTCAGTTTCTAAAGCTGATGTTAGTGAATTTAAAAAAAAATAATAAATGAAATAGGATAAGCTCTATCATAATTATTTTTTGATAATTTATTTTTATAAATAAACAAACGGACCAAGACTTATGAAATTTAGGAATTAAAAGCTGCCAACACCCTTTAAAACTGAGGAGAAAACTGATGTCTATGGCATTTAATGTAGCCCAACGGTATGTAATATCAAGCAGGCACACTTTGCCTTAGTAGAAAATAGTGAAAATAACAAGTTTTATTTTATTACAGCTTGATTCCACACAGTACATTTTTTGGTAGAAGTATGGAATTTTCAACATGTGATATCGGTAGCCCAAATTTTGCAGGCCGACCATAAATATCAGGTGTGCGCTGGCAGGGTATCGAACCTCGGACCATGTTCATGGTCGGCGAGAGTCCTAACCACTGTGCCACCGACGTACAAATACAACGATTCAAGCACTACTACGAAGCACTTCATCATTCTAGAGTTGAACGGTCTGTGGATGGAAACTACGGGATGCACAGCATCGAAATCTTCATAAGTGATCGATTGATTGATTTCAGCACTCATATATCATAAGGTCACAAATTTTGTGTCCTATGCTTGTACAACTAAAAAGCTATTACACGAATATTATGCTTCGATATGTAAGGGTACAAACCTGCATGAATACGGTTGCTAGGTTACACTTCTTAATCACCTTTTAGTGATTTGTTTAGGAAATCGATGGTAAACAAAACCAAAGAATACTATATTTCCGTTTACTTCTCAGCAATATATATATATATATATATATATATTGAAAATATCTTCATTCTGGACAGTATTTATAGAATGTAAAGAATTTTCAAAGGAGTTTATTGCATGATATTTTCCCTCCTTACAATATCTTCAAGTAAAATATTAACTGACAGTATATCCTGTGACACAATGGCCTATGAGCTGAAGCACAAACCATTCCATTATGATATATCTGCTTTGTCACCTCCAAGAAATCTACGATATCTGGTTGAAAGCCAATTTTAAGATGTTCAGAAGTACATTTTGACAACCGAGGACTTAACTAAAGAACAGTTATAAAATGTATTGAGACGCGTTGCCACTCGCAATCAGGCCTTTCCTCAAGTTTAATGGGAACTAGCGAATCAGAAGCTTTTAAATATTTAAAATACACACAAAAGTAGATAACACAAATAAAGGTCATGTCATGATTGATTAAAACAAACCGAACGAAAGAAAATATATTCCATAAATAGATGGAAGTTTTCGGTAGCCCAAGCATAGTTAAGTTCTACACAACTGCCAGTTCATGATAGCGCGACATAATGGTTAAGAGTCTTTCAAGTAACCATCGTTTAACACCATTGATCAATATAGATTATGAGTTTGAACTAATTTCAGTGTAGAATTCCTTAGTACTCCCTGGTTTTCAATGATCTTTTTCGTGACAAAATCTTTAATAAAATTAATCCAAATCGCTACAAAGACCCATAATCTAAGTATCAATTCACTTGCTACTGGTTTCAGATACTAAAGTTGCACTGCTACGTCACTGTTAGTGGGGTTCATCAAGTTTAGGTGAAAACAATGCTCATGAAAGCCATTACTTAAGGATATCGTTCTGTCAAAGTTAGAATTCACTCTGACGTGAAGGTCAGAGTTTTGATTCCGTGTTGAACAATGTGTGTGTGCAGTGCAGAAGAGTCACAGCCAATGGCCAAACAGCTGTCCCATACACTCTTCGTCCTCAGAGATCTCTGACTGATGTTGATTTGTGATAAAACCCACACTGAACCTGATCAATTTCTTAATCTTCTTGTCGGAATTATTTGCCATCTGTCCAATTAAAAGCGACCTAAGACACCATACAACGTAACGAAAACGATTTGTAAGATGAATATTACCTCCTGACGTCCTGACAACGTAGAAATTTCCATAGAAATACATCAGTTTCGAATGAATACACTTCAAAGAAGAATACAAAATATGGAAACAGAAGTACAATAATAATAATATTGAAGATAAATAAGCCTAGTTGCGATGGAGAGAATAATCAAATGAAAATTCGTGGATTCTCTGAGGAACTGGAAGTTGACATGTAGTAAAGGAGAGCAAACTGTTTCAAAAGTCAGTTAGTCAACATTCCATTCATATCAGCTGTAATAAGTTATTTTGAAGACTGTTAAAATGCTACATCTGTCAGCACCATCAAACTTTACTTTTATGAAGAATGAATTTTATTTATTTACTATTTATTTACGCCTATATCTGGTGTTCTAAGAATGAATTGTGCATTAAAATATGTAAGTATCTTTATACAACTATTCATTTTTAACTAGAAACTTAATTAGATTTGAAAAAAAGCATCGTGAATATGCTCGACCAAATAAAGTGTTAATGAAAATGCATATCATGACTCACCAGCTTTATATTGCAACTGATCCAAGTGGTTGGCTAATTCAGGTAGTCTTGTCTGTAAAAGTTGACGAAAGACAGCAATATCTACTGAAAGCGCTTGTAGATTTTGTGCAAAATATGATTCCGGTAAGACATAGTCAATTAGGTAAACCATAATCTGAAATATATGAAGATGAAGCACAGATATATATATATATATATATATATATATATATATATACTTATAAATGTTAGTTACTTTCTTCTTACAAATATAAATTATTACTTTCTGTAAGAAATCAAACTGCGCTAACATTAAACTTAACGTCTATACAAGGTAACAAGAGGTAATGACCACCTTTTATAAACAAAACGCACAATAATAATTACCTTTCTTAAAGATCACAATAATGTTAGTCACATAAACAATACACCCTCAAGTGAGTATTCACATCAGATCTTTTATAAAGCTCCTTCATTCTTTAGCAGAATGAAATGTTTCAATCCTTTAGATTTGAGGTTTCAGTATCAATGGTGTTCTTTTCATGGGGTAGAATTTACTAACTCCCAAGCTTCACTATTCCCTGCTGAGTAAGGCTTAGGAGTAAGCTAGACAGTAACCATAGGAGTACCAACTCTATCATATGACTCCTGGTGAGAATTCTACCATCGAACCAGTGACTCAACTGCATCTATTTACAAGGTTAAATTTCAGTACGGTATATTGATAATTACTTTAGTGTGTGATTGAATGAATAAATTTACGCAATAATACACTTTTCAGTAGACATTTCAGTCTTTGGAATTCTGCAAATCTGTTAAACCAAGACGGTTCTCAAGAGTTGATTTGTTTTTCGAGTTTGACCGCAGATTGATATCAGGGAACCATTGAAAACCAGAGTATTGCACAGCTGTCTCGTCCTCGTCTGGAACTCATCGACAGTATGCACCCAATGGGTTTTGAGCCCATGACCTTGGTAGAAGTTAGAATTCATGGGCCATTAAATCGGTTAGGTGGTCTACAAGTTCGCTTTGCAACAGGAAGGTCCTGTGTGCATACTGGTGATGAGTGCCAAAATAGGATGAAACAGCTGACCAGTACTACCTAGTTTTCAGTGCTTCTCTAACTTATATCAATCCATCGTCAAACTCGTAAAACTAAAACGGTGCCATGAAAAAACAATACGATTAAATCTATGCATATTTTACATTTTTCTTAATTACAGCTTGATTCCACACTGCATTTTTGGAACAGGTATGGAATTTTCAGCATGTGATATCGGTAGCCCAAATTTGGCAGGCCGATCATAGATATCAGGTGTTTGTCGGCAGGAGATCAATTAAACGATTATCAACTAGAGTTTTCGATCATTGGTTTTGGTGATCGATTTCAAATCAGTAGATAACATGTTTAAACACCTCAGCAAATGGCGGATTTTAACCAGCCCGTTTTTATGTATATTGCCACATTAGAAAAAAAAGTAAGAATTATGAGCAACTGAATGAAAATGAGTTGAAGGTATACAGTACGTTTTCACGCTACTCAAATCCTATGCTTTTGAATGGCTTAGTAACATGCTTTTTATAGTCCATCCTGAAAGTGTATATGGTCAGTGTAGTAAAAATTTACGCTTACATTATGTAGATATCAGCAAGTATCAAGTAAAGCTTAAGCAAAGTTCCAGTGGCAATAACATCTGGGGGTATATTTGTGTGGTTTTCAACTCAAAAATGCATCATATCTAACAAATACTTGTAAGTGATAGACTGGCTCTCGTGGATCAAGTAGTCTAGTGGATAACGCTTTGGCGTTTGAAACTATGGGCACTAGGTTTGAGCCTCGGTGGGAATATAATCAGTCACTGTGGAATGCAGGTACATCCAGTGGTGAGTCTCAAATAGGACGAAATACGCATCCTGCTAGTCAACATCCACCAATTAACTTCTGATAGATAGAGTATATGCAACTGAGATACTGATCTAACATGGGAAAACAACCGTTAACTATTACAATAATAAATGCGAGAAACATTTACAGACGAAACTCTGGTTCACACCGATGAAGACGTTTCCAGTATCTGTAGACCTGCTTTTAATTGACTGTGTTCCAGAGTCGTAGACTATAAAACTCATCTGAACAATTTGAAAACACTTTTACCTTTGTTGTCATGATAACAATCAGTTACATGAAGCAAAAACTAACTAATACAGTGAAGGTCAAACATTAAGAAATACAATATATATTTCAACTAATTATCATCACCACATAGTATAACGTCAAGGAGACAGCAAACAGGAATAAACATGTTACAATGATTTACAAGACCAATCAATAAATATTCATGATGCCAACCAGCAAAAATTATAAATTTGACATTTTAACGTGTTTATCGGTCTAAAATTTAAAAAAAGATATTTTCTAAATCTTCTAGCATCAATATGAAAAACAAATTTTAGTGATTAAATAGTACCAGACAGAAGCATAACATGCCAGAGACAGTAAGATCATTGTGATATAATAAAGGGATAAAGATTTTTGAAGGTTGATATAAGAGTAGAACTTGTGCAATGTTGTAGAGTATAATGCCATTAGAGGTAAAACTTATTTTGATAAATTCTCAGTGTTATACAGTAATATTCACTGATCTCCTTTCGAGAAAAATTTATTGCTCATTGTCATATCGGGGTACTCACACAACTTCGTTGATATAATTCCATTATTTTTCATCGCTTGATTTGATTGGTAGTAGTATTTTCCATATTTCCAGTATGAGTGATGAGTCATTCCTATTGCACGTGTTGGGTGTAGACTCGATGAACAAGGATTCAGTAATCAACCTCTCTCTCTCCACCTACATAGATTACTTCTTAGAATTTTAACCCTCTCTCACCCTATTGTGTGGTTGTGTGTTAATGCGTGCAGTGCAATGCGGTGCTGACCTTTTTTCTAAATTATTTAACTTTTCAGGGTCAACCATTCTTACCTTAGCTAAATTCCTACGTTCTGACAACCTGACCTATGTAATTGACCTCAAAGTCATTGTCATTATTTTGTCTAATTGGGTCAACCTATAGGGTCCTTTAGCCAATACAGCTTGTCTCTGAGTGAGTTTATACGTGTAAATGCTACTCTAATTCCTGCTCTATTAAGAATCCTACGTAGGGTTTCAGATGTCCCATCCGTATATGGTATAACAGTAGACGTCTTATATTCTCTCTTATTTACGTTATCACTACTAGTTTCACAATTATTTCTATTTTCCTTTCGACTTTTCTCATCTTCCTAATGAATTTTATAGGATAGTTGTTCAACATCAACGCCTCTTCTATCTGTTTCATTTCATCATTTAGGTTTTTTGTTGTACTTCTATTGCTCGGTATGTTAGACATTTGACTAAGCCTGCCTTTACAGACAATGAATGAGATGAACTAAATTCTAAATATCTATTAAAATGCGTCGGCTTTTTATAAACGCTGGTGTGCAGTTTACCTTCTTCCGCTTGTTTTATTTTACAATCTAACATAGCTAATTCGTCTTTTTCATTTTCCGATTCAAATATGAATTTTATTCCCTTTACTAGTGAGTTTATATGCGTCAAGAAGATAAAGATATGTTCTGTTTTTAACACTGTGAAAGTGTCATTCACATATCTCCACCATATTTTTGGACTGGACTGACTTCAGGTTAGATCACCAAATAACATCAGTTAAGTAACCATTAAACACCAGGTAGTAGCGGACACTTGTTTCGTCCTAGTTTGGGAATCTTCAAGAGTCCGTTGCATTGAAAAAAGAACCTACGACCCTCAGGTTACGAGGCGAGCTGGGACGGAATCCAAAGGCTGATGAATTCTAATTTCCGTCAATCTCCGATATATATCACCACTGCCAATCAGTGTCTTCGGTGAAAATTCATGTGATGAACAAATATGATTATCTTGAAAATCCCCATTGAGTCATATGAAAAAGAGAAGACGTTCAGCGAAGAGACTCCTTTCGGAGAATTCATTCACATAGCTGTACAATGGACGTAATCTATCTTATTACCCGACAAGTAAATTCTACATAATCTTTTTTTCTTTTCTGTCTCTTCACTAGTATTATTTTGTCTTCTCAATCGTAATTATTTACATTTTCAAATTTTTTGTTCTCTACCCTCACCCGATTTAATTTCTACACCTCACTAACACATGGTTACTGAATTGACCAACGCTCAATTTCTAGTCATTTATGTTACGTCATCCAACTTATTTGCTCAATTTCAGTTCTGATTTAAATGGCATTATTCTCTACCCCACTTCTACTTAGCTTCTACCTGTAATTACCTCTGTTGCTACCCTGACTTAAGTTGAAACATTTTAGTGAATTATATTACGTCATCTAACTTTCTAACTCAATCCTACTTTAATTACTCTCTGATTAACCTTGTTTCTATATTAGATCATTCTTGCATTACCTGATCAGTCACCTAAACTTGACAAACTTCATGTACACACACACACACACAAATAACTATATAAATGCGATTGTACAGCCATGTGAATGAATTCGCCGAAAAGAGTCTCGTCGCTGAACGTCTTCTCTTAAATATGATTATGAGATATATTCTCAGAACAATAACTATAACACCTAAAACACAAAATCTTTTTTACAAGTCTATTTTTAAAAAGTAAATAATTTTCAACAAATTAAGCTAAAGTATGTCCACATCATTACCTAAAATGAAGTTAAGGTTTGTGATCTTAGATTGAAGACTACTACCTTGTCAAAAATACAGATACCTAGTTGTTAGTCATTTATTTTCAAGAGTATATATACTCAGTTTTTCTACTTACCTTAAATGCTTTCTTTTCATCCGAGCAGTAACATCCAGTACAGCAGCAGCTATCACATTGAATCCTTGACAATAGCCTACACGTTTATTCCATCGAGCGTAAGCCAGAAGTACACGTTTTAATGATGCTCTGTCAGAATCTGAACCAAACTGTTCACATCCAGTACGATGTAGATCTTTTACAATCTGTTCGCCTAATCTATCATCATCTTGATTGGATGGTTCATTGAAAGCCACTTTAATAACATGATCCCAGTCCACATGTTGTTTAGCCAGCTGCCGATCTGCAAGAGTTGACCATACGCGTGCACGAATAGATGCTGGCAATCCATCACCTAAACGAGCCATGAGACGTATAGCGTTAACCCATTCATCAAAAGCTTCATCACTCAAACGAGGCTCTATGCTGAATTTCAGATTTGCATCCTGTCCTAGAAAAATCAGTGAAACATAAGGTGAGAAAACGGAAGTATGTGTGTGATTTTGAAATGTCTTAAATCTTCTTTAAAACAGCAAGTATTTTACATGATCAAATTCATAGTCCTGAAAAAGGAAAGTGACTTCACCTGTGAAAAGCAGAAATAGGTTTTTGTCACATTCAGAAATCAAGAAAGAGAATAAAGTTTTCATTCAAATAATGAGCCACAAAATTTTAAGAAAGCAGAGTCTAATAAAAATGTAAATGAACAACACGAAAACAGGTGGTTGGAGGCAATCGGTAGGAAGCCTTCGACCTAAGTCCAATTGGCACTCGTCAGAAAGGAGACTGGTGGCCTAATTGACTTGACTGATAGGATTCACTCGGCACCAAACAAAGGACTAGACACATCACACCAGTTACTAACTAGTGTCCAATCCGACAGGAGGTTAATCGAGAGCCCGAATAGCTTAGTAATGACGTCTCTGACTGTTGCACTAGGTGACGCGGGTTCGAATCTTAGAAGGGACATGAGTTCCTTCAAGGTGACTGCAGACACGCCCTGCTCACTAGTGAGTGCCAACTAGCACGAAACCTAGGTGCAAGGCTTCCTGTGGCCGACTGCCTCCAACTATCTAATACCATCAAATGATAATTAAGTTTAGTAGCCAAGGGAAGGAACCTTGCGTAAAATGTTTCATTTATCAGTAGCATTACTAAGAGTATTCACCAGATGAACCTGACTGATCGAAATGTAATCGAAAGATAATACTTAAGTGACTGAGTATGTTTATCGCTTCATCCCTTTGAAAACATAATTTACGACTAACGGATCATTTTTACAATCCACTTACGTCTACTCAAAAAAGACATTAAAAGAAGAAGAAGCCAGGTTATACAGGATAAGAACAGAACTTAGGCAATGTGGTGGAGTATAATTCCATCATTGAATAAATTTATTAGATAAAAAAGATACAGTGATATAGTATTATTTACTGATGTTTCCAGCATAAATTGTTCCTCATAATTGCATCAAGACACTCGCATAATTAATGTCAGTAAAAAGTTTGAGCATTATGGAATAGACCAAATAAAGTGTAATTATATTTCAATGGTTTACACACAATGATAAGTTTTGTTATTGGTAATATTTCGAGCAAAATTACCAGTAGCAAAACTTATTATTGTGTGTAAACTATTGAAATATAATTATACTTTATTTGACACGCACATGACTTTCAGACCTAGCTTATATAATTCCATTATTTCTTATCCTTTGGTTTTGATAAATTTTCTTTAAAGTTTTTTAGATTTTATTATACCTTGATTCCACACCGTATTTTGGTACAAGTATGGAATTTTAAGCGTGTGATATCGGTAGCCCAAATTTAAGAAGTCAATCAATCATAATGAGTGTGCGTCGGCTGAAGATCGAACCCCGAAACATGAGCACGGTCGGCGAGCGTTCGTATATATACAGTAAAGCCAGAGATACCTTACCAACCTGATATTTTATTTCACTACGATGCTGTTACAATATGCCTGTACATTGACTCATTTTATTAAAGATTACAGGTTTCACACAGCTGATGAGGACCACCAGAATATATTGGACCCATGTTATTATTTCTCTGCCCAGATATACAAAGGGAAATTCTAGTATGCAAGTAACATTTTAGCCTTTTCTGTCTAGCTGCAGTTTTCAACGTATTATATTAATTTTTTAAAAAGCAAGTGAACTTCTTAGCATGTAACTATACGGCATATTCTGCGTGAGTTTCTTTATCTATTTAAGATTAAGTGTTACTCAGGAATCACTTGCATTTTTATGTATTCGGCAATAATTCATATCTACTGCGTGAAAACTGACGGCACTACCTAATTGCCTTCATATTCGCAGATGGCGCAGGATTTCAAAGCATTAATCAGTTGATTGGCAGTAGAGCAAGCAAACTGGTGAGCCACAGTTCCATATTATCTATTTGGGACATGGATGACAGACAACTAAGTCATCCAGCTCAGAGAACACAACTATTGCGAAATTATTCACCTGAGCTACAAATCTTTTCCATTATACCCTATTCAATAAAGGTGTCAGAAGGAATGACTCATTCGAATTTACTTTGAATGGTCATCTATCAACTAGCTGCTGAAATATGAATGCATTTATAGTACACCAGTTGACTACTGAATATAAGTGTCATTGAATTCATCATCTGTATAGGTCTGTGGTTGTCATTATTATCACCATCCGCTTCTTAGGTTCCTAATGAAAAATACAAGTATCATTATGTTATTGTTGCAAGGAATAAGCATAATAACAAACAAGAAACCTTGCATACAACACATACAACCAGTGACACATATTAAATCTTACTTGAGTTTCCATAAACCACTCTTCTTGTTCCAAGTCCAGGAGTCAAAGAAGGCTTAAAATGAGATAATCGACTACGGAGTAGGTTAGGTGCCATGTTCGGTTGTAATACTGAGTTTTCGTTTACAGTGGGTCTATAAAGTCCAGGTCCTCTTCGTCCACTTGTACTATTGTTCCCATGGTTTTGTGGTAACCTACCATAATTTCTAGGATAGAACTTTTCCTGTTGACTATTCTTTTTATTAGACATTATGCTCAAGGTATCCTCATGTCTGACCTTAGGAACAACCTCCATTTATGTAAAAGTATAATCCTCGAAGTAAGAAGTGGATTACGACATTATGTAATATTGTCCATTATGATAAACATTATTTTAATCTAAACATATAATGTCGTTTCATCATAACAGGATATTTTTATGCTCAACCGTAGGTTTATTGAAGCTAACCAAACTACAACCTGATTGGTGGAATAAAAGCAGCCAATGACGAGATAGAATAAATTGATTTACTGCTACTTACTTTTCGTTATTCGATTGGTCATTGAAAATTTTTTTTATTCTAAGGCTAAAAATAAAAACTGAGAAAGAGACACGGACTATGATCGATACCGCCTTTTCTAAAATAACTAACCCACAAAAGCAACCGTAGCCTAAAAACCATCTTCCTTTGACAGGTCAAGTTCATACAAACTGTAATATTTGTGATAAACTAGAACATTGCTGAGTAGCTTCCTTTAATTTATATATATATATATATATATATATATATATAATGTTTTAAAAGATGTTTAAATTAGCAGAAATACACGAGACGTTGTAAGCAGATGACTTGATCATATGAAATCTCCCTTCAGGGGGGCATTTCGACGTCATGAAGTTACACAAAACCGACTAGATATTTTAGTAAGGAATTAGACTTCATTTTAAAAATCAATATTTCATCTGACTGACTGAATTTGAATGTAGGACTGCACATGAGTGTAGAAACTCAAGTTGCCACACTTTATGTAGCCCACAAAGGTAGAGGAAGAAACAAAAATTCAAAACAGCTATAAGGAACAGGAAAGTACAGGATAAAGAATGGTAAAATGGAAAACCATGAGGACTTAGTAGTTATGAGAGATGATAAAAAGTGAATGGATCTGTGCCATCAACAACAACTGTAAACCGTATCATCAATAGTCTCCAAACATTGGTTCTTAGCATCACGGGGACTCCAATCAGGCAGTCCACCCCTCCCTACGTTCTTGGTTCAAATCAAAAGTCAACGCCTCCCATGGATTGATGTCTGACTACCACTAACTCCTTTCCAGCCTAATCCTATGTTAAGTAACATTGTCGAGAAATCCTGTGGCTTGGTATGCGCAAGACATCTCCTAGCCATCTCAGTCGATGTAGCTTCATCGATTTCAATAACTTTTTTATTAACTGCCTAAATGAAGTAGTTCATTTTCACTTTATACTGAAGAACAGATTGCCAGTTAGAAAGGATTACCAACAGGGAACTCTGGCGACGAATGAAACAAGAACCTGTTGCCCAATAAATATGCGAAAGGAAACACATAGATTGGACCTACACTGAGAAGATAACTGAGTGTAATCAAACTCCAAGCCTTTAAATGGAACCCGAACTGAATACAAATTGGGCGTTTCAGTGCAAAACAGAGTAGACTGTGTGAGTAGGAGGAGAGATATTGTGGACAATCATGGAGCAAACTGCAGAAGGAAAGTAGGGAAGAGGATGAAATGGAGGTGTTCTGCTGCGACCCTATGTTCCACTCTGGGTAAAAGGAAATAATAATAAAATAATATAACCATCCAAGTCTGCGCAGCTGGTTTTTTTGATACTCCATCTTAAAAATCATATAGCATAATTATTTTGTTCCCTTGGGTTCCAAGTAGAAGATAGGGCTTCAACAACACATCTCCATCTTCTCCTATTCTCTGCGGTCATCTCTAGTGGGATCTATGCCTGCCTATAGTCTCTGATGTCCTCCATGTCATCTTCGGATCAATGCCCAACTCGTCGTTTCACATTCGAGTCACACTCGAGGTCCTGGCTGTCTATGTCACTCAACAATTTCCTCAGCATTTGTCCAGTCCATCTCCATCTTCTTCCACATATTTGTTGGGAAACAGGTTCTTGATTCATTCTTCCCCGAAGTTCTTTATTTTTGATACTTTCCTGCCGACTACCCGACCTTCAGTATGGAACCAGCGAACACAGCTGTTGATGAAAGTCCGCAACCTCTTGGAAATGCTTTCCGTGACACGCCAAGTTTCTGAACTGTATACAGGGACCAAGAGACATTTGTGTTGAAAATGGGAATCTTTCCAAACTGGTTTGAGGTTGATGAAGGTCTTACCTTTCCTTTCCGATTCTGGCCTGCTTTGACATTTCAATCCGTTCCGCTGGCTTCCTAGATAAATGAAGGAAGTAACCTCTGCTAAATCTCTCCCGTTAATGGTGATTGGCGCTGGTTGTTGCTGTTGGTTGTTTACCTTCATCACTTCCATCTTCTCTATGCTCACTTGCAGTCCTGTCTCCTTTGCCAGCATTTTCAACCAGTTTTTTTGATTTTCGTCTATAAGTCTTCCAGTTTCTGTGAAACTATACATAAATCATCCGCGAATTCCA